CATCATCACAAAATACTCCGCTTTGCCACCAGATGGCATTGAGAAGCCGGGAAATGTGGTGATGATGATGATGATCCTGGACCAGAAGCATCTCCCCACGTTATTGGCTCACGTTGGGGACACACAACCCTACGTCCCTACAGCGGCTGCGAGAACGACCTCTCAGAACTCCGGTGGAGCCAAGAGACCCGGTGTCTCCACTTCACTCTGCTCCACCCATTAGGCTCCCCCTCCCTTTTTTTTGTTTACCCCCCCAAAGGTGCTATTTTTGCGCCGGCTCTCCCAGGGCTCTCCCTCGGTCTGAACTTCCCTCCCTGGCCTTTCTCCGGTTCTAACCAAGGACACCTCTCTCTCTGAGCTGGCAAACGGACTGCAGCTCCCATCATGTGTCAGGACAAGTGCGAAAATTCCAGGGTTAAAAGCTGCCCCGTTTGGGAGCGATGCCAAAGAGGGGCTTTAAAGATTAAGTGCGGAAACAAGAGATTTTAGATTCATTGTGAAGGAGAGGAAGGGAGTGAGCCATCCTCCTCTGTCAAAGGAGCAGAAGGAGGTACAGGTTGTGTGGAGGGGATATTGGTGGAGGTGGAACAAGATGACCGGGAAGTACAGGAGCATAGAGAAGTGTGTTTGGCTGATGAGGGAATGGAGGAGCTTGATTCGATTGTATGGGAAGAATATAATTAGTGCACAGCACCATTCCGGGCATCATGCTGCTCCTGGCATGGGACCGCGCTTTGGGTTTTATAACCCTGGGCACCCATGCCCCCAACCAAAATACACAGAGAGGGAGAGATTTTGGGGTTAGGGCGGGTGGATTTCAATACCCAGAATCCCCAGCCCTTGGGTCAACACTGGCCGGGACTTCTGGGAGTTGCGGTCCTAAACAGTGAAGTCTCATTCCCCGAGGAGGCTCCGGGTCCCTTTTGCAGGAGCGGTGCTCTCAGAAATCTCCCCGTGCCAGAGGCGAGCAAAGCTCACCTCCTTGGCGAAGAGATGCAAGAAATGCCATCCGTTTAGGAGGACCTCGGTTTCCTAAAACGGGGGTGGCCAGCTGGCAGGGCCTGCAAAATCTGGTCTCCCCATCACCACGTGTCCCCTCCATTGTCCACCCGTACGGACGGTTTTGCCTGGGTGATGCGTCTTAGCTTTTTCACGCTGCTTTCATCTTCTGCTTATGGTTCCTTTCTATCGTTTGGCTGTTTCAGATGCCAAAGGTCCTTCCGGTTTGTGGTTTTTAACCTTTATTGTAAGCCACCCGAAGAAGGCAGGTTGTTGAGTGGTAATAAGCAGGTAACAGCACAAACTATCCCAGGATCATTCTCATGTCAAAGAAGCAACACAGGATTACTAGGATGTGCAGAAGAGGACAAACACACAAAAAGAACCAGTTGAATTGTGGTTTATAAACCCTTGCAAAGGGGGGGGGAACACGCTGTACAACCTTTTCACTTTTGTCCCCCAAAAGAACAACAGCCCCGAAACACACAAAACCAGCCCTCAGCTTCAGATGGATATACAAAAAAAAAATTCAAGGCATGTCATTTCCCAACAAATAAAGTGAAAAAGCAGCATAAATACAATTTAAAATTATAATATAAACCCAAGGGGAAGAGGGCGCGTTGAACCTTATACCCTTTGCCCCTTTCAAAAATTCACATTTTCTTTTCTGCTTGACAACCCACACGGGTGTAAATAAATAAGGGAAGGGAGAAGGGGGAAAAAAGTAAACGGGTTAAGAGAAGGAACGTGTGTTTTACATACACACACGTCTAGGCGTTGGCATCCCTCAGCACGGGAGGGTTAAGAGCAAAAACGTTACCCAAAACATCTCTACAAACAGATGAATTGAAAAGTGTGCTTGTTTCACAGAAGGGGGGGGAATACTGGGGGCAGGGGGTGATTATCTGAGTTTTAATTCTAGGTAGACAAAACTGAACAGAAGTAATTAGTACATAGGCCGAGTCCATTTAGATGACATGTCATCGACGCATCAAATTCACCCGCCCTGCGCTGAATCCTTCTATAGGGCGGAAAAGGAGCAAGTGCTTGTAAACTGGCTGCGCTGAACACGGCGGGGGGGCCTCTCCATTCCTACCCCCCCACCCTCCCCATTTCTCCACCTCGATTGTCCGAGACCTTCTTGGGGAATAAAATGAACAAGGGGGCGGAAGGAAGGGGGAAATGGGGGGAAGGGAAAAGTCCCCCCCCCCAAACGCC